GTTCTGGTTTTCAGACCTTTGAAGCTCAAGATGGTAAGTTCTGTGCTCTTTCTTTTTTTTTTTTTTTTTTTTTTTTTTTTTTTTTTTCTCAAGAAAATTCTTGCTTTCTGACTAAAATAACAAGAAAAAAAAAGAAATTTACATTACAGTAAGGTACTTACTTGCAAAGTACTTAAAAAGACTTTGTAATGACAATGAAATGAAAAAAAAACAAAAAACTTCTAAAACATTCTTCACTAGCATGCCAACTTTCTTAGTGTTTAGTTAAAAGATGGAACTACGCAAACTGCTATGCTTTATTTAGTGACATTAGTAGAGAAGGAACTATGGGAAGCAAAAGAGATGTAAGAAGCTAATAGAATTAAACTTGCAAATTTAACATGGAACATTTCAAGTTTTCTCAAGTAGAGATAATCAAACCTTGCTAATCTGTTTTACAAATTCTCGTCACACAGGGATGGTTATGTAAAAATTTCTTAGTATAAAGTAGAATTCACTACCCATACTAATGATAGATCTTTTAAACTATTTGCTTCAGTGAATGTTCCTTTAGTATCCTGAAATCCTGCAGTGAGCTGACAAAGGTGCCTTTGAATACTTCAATTATGCACGGCTATCTTTATCCTATTTAGATTGACACTTATCTAGATTACATGATTGGTTAGCCTTTCAGAACAAGTTGACCCTTAAATTAAAATGTTGTCTCTTTGAAGACTACCAATCAAATTAAAACAACCAGTCATATCTTAACCTCAAAAATGAACTGGTTTTCAAGTGCTCTCTTGCAATGATCTGTTCCTACAAAATAATTTGTAATCATCAGTGACCCACTCTAAAGAAATTCAAATTCAACTGAACATTGTGACTTTGATGAGCCCCTCCCCCAGAGCTTTCTGGTCTTTAGAGCTGTGGTTTTGGTGGTTACAGAACAAATTATGGCAAGGCTGCTCTTTACACTGGGTTGACGACTGACAAGAGCTAAACAGTAAGCCTGAAAGCCACTCCTCTTTTGACTACTGTGTGAAGACTTCTGACAGTAATTGCCAGAGCTATTCTTTCAATGTTTATAAAAATCAGCAGACGTGGGGATTTTTGAACAAAAGAGTCCAGAGCTGCAAGCAATCCAGGAGACTGCTGGGGTCCATCAACAATAACTTTCTGGTTCAAGTATTGGACAGACCAAACAGAAGTGAAGTATTACTGGACCTGGTCTCACCAATGTAGAGGAGATCTTTAAAGAAATAAAGGTTGGTGATAGTCTGAGCTGTGGTGACCAAGCCCTGGTTGAGTTGGTGATCTTGAGGAACGTGGGCCTGACAAAGAGCAGAGTCACGTTGCTGCCCATGACATGGGGTTGGAAGGTAGGCATCTTTAAGGTCCCTTCCAAACTAAGCCATATGATAAGGAGGGAATGTTGTCATTCTTTTAATTTTGCCTTTCTGTACATTAACAAAATGTGCTGAGTCCTCTAACAGTACAGCTAGCTGGCAATAAACACTTCGTACGTTTTTGTGCTATTTTGCATGCCACTTTCTAACAGAACAAAGGTGAGGTTGCCATTGTTGTGGAACCTTCATCAGAACTTCCCAAACCAGGCAAAAAGAAATTAAAATAAGATTTGAGAATGACTGATGGACTGATTGATGCCCACTAACTTTATTGCCAGACTTTCCTCCACAGAAGGCATGGGAATAGCCTTCAAATGGTGTGTTTTTGACTGTTTCCAACAGTAAATAAAACAACCAAAGCCTATGTTACAGGCATGGTTAATTAGTGTACTTAGGAGTACTCAGAGAGGTCATAGGTAAGTACATTCCCCAGCTGTGTTTTAGTGCTCATTGAGACTATCTGGTATCCCAACTGAGAAAAAAAAGCTACAGATTTTTGGGAACTATTTCTCCTCTCATTTCACTTTCTATCTATCACCTTCTAAACTGTATTACTGCAATCACAGTGTTCTTGTAATTTATGTACATTACAATTAGTATGTAACATCTGCAATACTACAAATGGATACTGCATTTTTACATGAATTTAGCCACACCTACATCAGTATTTCCAACAAACACAGGCATAAACTAAAACATGAATAAATTTTTGGAAGTGGTTCATATTTTAAACTGACCAGTTTAATTGTGTCTCATGCTTGAGCATAACATGAACAGGCCCTATGAGTAAGTGCTTAGCCAAAGTTGAAAGCACAAGCAAACCCTGCTTGGTGGCATTATTCTTACAACTTCAAAGCAGCGTGTTACCATCATTAAATACAGCAATCAAAAAAGCAATAATTGTAAGTAATAACGGTACTGTACCATGTAATAGCCTTTAATGTTGGTTCCCTATCCACATCCATAAACTTCAGGCTGATAGTTTTAGCTGCCACTTTCTTCTTTCCCATTTCCTACACCATATGTAAGGTCATACATCATTTTTTATTAGTAGAATCACAAAGAAAAACAAACAAGCAAACAAACAAAACAGTAGTTCAGTAGTTCAATGGCCTAAATGCAGAAGTACAGCTAAAAAAATTCTCCTCCACACTCAGTGAGTTACTCCGAAGCTCTGCTATCTATCTCAGCAATACTGATTCCTGCTTCTTACATATTAAGTAGAAAATTCTCCCCATTTATTTGTACTGGCTCAGTACAAAGTCATTAGATGAATTTCACCAAGAAGTTGCTTCTTTGGAAACGTTTTTTTATGGAGAAAGCAAAGAAATGGCAAACAGGAGAAAAGATGTCAACTGTTTTAGGGTTTCATCTTTTCAAGGATCTTCTCCCTTTTTGGTTTGATGTGACTTTCCATCTGATTAGAATTTCTGTGTAACTCCAGAAATGCATCAGCAACATCTGAAAGACTGCTGAATAGCCATTTTTTGCCAATAATTTTGAGTACGTAAGTAAGTACTTTCTTCTGTTCCAAGTTCTTTCTTCTGTTCTTTTCTTCTGTTTCCAAGTAGACCCTCACAGAGTGCTCCTTTTTTTTTTTTTTTTTTTTTTTTTTAAAGTCTCTCCTTTTTTACTGGTCATCACAAATGATAATGCTGAACTACTCTAAAGCTTCCCTTGCTGGCTCATCTTATCGATTTTTAAAGTCCAAAACCTGAAATTGCTTTCAAAAGCTCTTAATTGGTTTGTCCTGGCTTAGCATATGACTTGTCGCATTTTGGGAGGTTTTGTCTGGTTGTTTGCTTAATCCTCCCATAACTGTCGTGTTGATCTAGGACACTTTACATCAAGGGTTGCAAAAATGACACCATGGCACTCTGTGCGTCTGTGTTTGAGCAAAAAACCATCTGTCTGGAGTCTCTGGAGGATTGCAACTCATCCGCTTCAAGGAAGGGGTCTTCTAGTGATTTAACCTCCTGATTCTACAGAGGGTCTGTAGATAGAAGCACATTCTCTGTAGCTCCTGGTAAGTGAAGCACAGTACTTTGAGGAGAAAAATCTATGGTTCCCCCATCCCCTTCTTCCACACACACACACACACACACACACAGTTCTAAACACACTTCTATTTTTCTACAATTTTTACTTTACTGCTACAGTATGCAAGCAGAATAAGAATTAAAAAGCTATTAGATGACATTAATGTGGTCCACAAAGCAACTACTTTTAGAACATCATACTTAAGGGAATTACTGTTCCATATTTGCAAAAGTGTCTGATTTCATTATGACCTTTTCTCTTTCATTGTTTGTTTGCCATTTACCCAAATTTATACAATTGAATTTTCCCTTGTATTACAATGTGCTGAGCAAACTTCTTCAGTGCCTGCATGATTTTATTTTTTATTGATGTCTCCTGGAGTTCTGAGCCTCTGGACTGAGGGTACCTTGCAAATGTGAATCTCAAAGGACTTAACCTGTTTAGAGTTACCAAACAACATTTAACTTCCTATGCATAAGGATAGTAATTGCTGTTGGTTCCTAAATGAAGTTTCAGCTTGCCTGTATTTTCTTGGAAACTCCACCTCCTTAAAAATCAGTAGTTTTATTTACACTTTTGACGTTATTTGCTAAGTTCTTCACTGCAGGAAATTCATTTCTCCAGCCACACGTTTGAGAAAAGGTGAATGCTGTCTGGTAAGAAACAATTAAAACTTGGGACACAGTCCTGAAAGCAGCCAAGTCTATGAGCAAAGGTTATGGGTGGAGTTCGCCTTGATTCATTCTGTGCTTCTCTGGGGGGAAGAGGTGACCTTATAAATCCCCTGGGAGTACAGAGGAGCACTACAACTCTGTGGTCAGTGCCCCTACTAACTGCTGATCTGGGTTTATGCACTTTTAATTCACATGCCTAAAAAAAACATATGTTTCATCAGATACCCTCTCAACCAATCTGGAAATACAGTCAATGAGAAAATAGATTTCAAGTGTATTTCTGTGTCCTTGCACAAGAGCCATCAGGTTTTTTATGCAACTGCTCACTATTAATTATTGTGGACTGCAGACTTTGGTGAGCTGTGTTTGAAAGGAAGGCCACCGCTTAGGGGTCATCATTTAAGGATGACGAGTTTAGTGGGCTCCACTTTACACTTGAGGCTAATGGAAACTGTTTGATTGAGGAGGACTTGTCCCAGTGATGGTCCCTCATTATCAAAATGGGATTTTGAGATCCCTGGAAAAAAAAAAAAACAAACAAACCAACAAACAGGCTTGAAAACAGAAACACCAACTGACAAACACAAGTTCCAGTCAGTTATATTTGCTATCCTTGAAGAGAAAAACATTATTTTACTGAAAAGCTTTATAGACTTCACTTTTCAAAACCTTCCGTGTAGTCTACCAGGCTGCAATTCATCAAGAAATACATTTGATGTTAGTCCGAGAGGCACTTTTATAACTTGTTCTATCTCTGGGAACATAACTGAACATAAAGCAAAGTATCCAGTTGCTAATAGGTTGATAGGATAAATGGGTTTGATGAGAACAGAAATAATCCTGAAGGCAACTTTACCAAATGTCTGGGAACAGTTTGCAGCTGCTCGGGGTGCTGAGTTGACGAGCTGTCAATAGTGGCAGGAAAATAGGCTGTCTCCCTCACTCTCCCGTTGACTTACTCATAGGCTGCATCTGACCAGCAGTAGAAAATCCAATTGTACTGGAAGGCAAAGGGAACACAAGGGCATAGGAAGAAGTTGTGATACCGGTTGTGCATCGAGTTGGTAAGCTTCCCCAGCAGCCTTCACTTGACATGAAATCTGCCATGCCTTGATGGACATCCGAGAGGAGAGTGAGGTCCCAGAGAGGCTGCCTATGAATTCAGGCAGCATTATATGAAGATGAGAAATGTATAAACAGCAGAGATGCTGGAGGTCTGTGTCCCCAGTCAAACAGGTACAAACAAGGTAAGTAGGAATGGTGCTGTCAACAACACTGTTTTGACTATTGATAATTAATATATTTACTATATACAACTGAGTTTATCTGGAGGCATCTTATATTCGATGTTAATATTTTATTAAGGGTATGCTGTCTCTTCGATGTGCTACATAATTTAGCTGTGGAGATTAGGGATGTGCCTCACTGCTGGCCTTTGCTGTGACTGCTAACGAGGGCACCATCTGCCTCCTGGCCTGACTGAAATTTGCTGCCTTGGTCCCTAGATGGCTGAACAGGCCTCGTGCCTGGTCCTCGGCTGCTCTCAGTGTGATATTTCCACCTGACAGCACCCTGTGTTTATAGCAATTAGATGGCCACCCTGCAGAATGCCTTGTGGGAGAGGCAAATGCTGCAGTGGGGTGAGGGTGCCCAAGGCAGCAGCCTCATGGGGTGCTATGGGACTGTAGTGGGGTGGTATCCCTAACTGGACTCACCTGAGGGTAACCCTCAGAGGCAGAAATGTGGATCCTAGGAGACTGACCAGGGGTTGCATACCATGTGTTCTTCCTAGCAGTACCTTGGCACGTCAGCAGGACATGGCAGCGTGGCTGGTACCAATGGGGTTGGCAGTCTGAAAGTACCACAGAGCAGGCTGCTTTGCTGCTGGCATTGCAAAACTCCTTTTCTGTGTGTCATTAGCTTATAGCTTAACCTGCCATTAGTTGCTGGTAGGACACCTGCAGTCCACAGCTGTTTCATGCTGCCATGTGGTCTAAGAGCTAATATTCCAAATGAATGCTCAAAAGATTGTCTCCTCCCCTGCCAGTAGCTAACATTTCATCTCCTCAGCCACGTCCAAACCTCATGCTTGAGACAGAAAATTCTACATGGTCAGTCTGCTGTGTTTTACTTCATGGTAAAGAGAACGTGTTCTTAAACATTGCTTACCTATGGCATCTGACCAAGTAATTAGGCATGCAGAAATAGTTAACATACATAAACAATTTGTATTTATATAGTACTTTCAAGGTGACATCAGTGGTGTTCATATCATCCATTTGAGGTTCAAATTCAGAAAAGATTTAGGTTACTAATTATTTTAATTTGGATTCCAAAAATAAATATCTGTGTTGAGAATGGGCACACATACCAACTGGCAACCCTGAGCTCCTACTCATGTTTTCCCAGGCACTTTTACATGGCTAGCCAAGAGGAGCTGCTGGCAGGGCAGCCCACCTCACTCCTGGCACTGTGGCAGAGCAGCATGCAGCCCTTCTGCTCCCTTCAGCAGCAGGTGCCCGAAGCTTACCCTATTGCCTTCACAGAGATACTGATAGTGCTTCTGAAGGCAGCTGAGGACTAGGACCAGGGATAGACCTCTATGAGCAGCCATCGCAACATCAGCAATATCCTGTTTGGTTTGGTTTTGTTTTTCCCCTTGAATTCAGGCCAAGGCAAAGGATACAGCATAGCACTTTAGGTGTATTTGTGTGCTTGAGGCTCTGGGCCTTGGAGCAGCCCCCATTGGGCACCAGGACACACCAGAGCACCAAGGACACACTGACTCACTCACCTCTTGCACTTTTAGAAGTAGAGTTGCAGTTGAGGTATGTGCTGATGTCAAACACAATGAAACCATTACGGTGTTGCGAGTCGCCTGAGTGTTCTTTTGAATTTAATTATTTAAATGACCTGCTATTGTTTCCAAATTAAATTTTTAAGCTTGCTAAATGGCTGCCATCCTGGGTTAGTTGTTATGGTATCGTGATTGGTGCTGACAGAAGTGGAGTTTAAGCAAGCACAGGGGGAATCTCAACTCTCTGCTTTCTGAGCACTGTATGTATGGACCAGCCCTGCACTCGTGTGCATGGGCACTGCTTGAAGACTTGTAGCTGAGTGTTGGAGCCAGCTAAGGCCTCAGAGCCAGGGCTGCCATGCCTTGTGCACAAAAACACAAGAAAATGCAGCATGAACACCCCCTTTTAAGAACCACAGCTCTTCTTACCCCATGCAAGTCCAGGATGAATGGCCTAGCTGCCACAGGCACACAGAGAAAAGTTCTGCTATTTTTTCTTGTAGACAGACAAATCTTAGTCAAAAACAGAGCTAACAGTGTTTAATTCAGCCCTAGAAATACAGACCCATACAAGTGTTAAATGCATGTCTTCCCTGTAGTTCTGGACAGTGGAACCAATGGTAACACCTTTTGTTGTTTGTATCAGAACATGTAAATCAGCAGGATTTAATCAAACATTTTCACATAACTTTATAATTAGGACAAAATAATGCATGAATTCTTTTTCAACGCAACTGACGTCTGTCGCTCAGCATTGTTAGTGTTTGATTTATTTCAGATTATTTTATTTTAAATGTCACGTACCCCTAGTGCAGAAGAGATGACTCTCAGTAAATGTCCAGGATTGAGCTGCTCCTCTAATTATAATAATTGCATTTACAAAGGGGCAGCAGGTTCCTCTCATAGGGAGAAATTTAATCTGCTCTGCTGTTAGCGATGTGCCGAATTTATTTTATTTTTTCACCTAGTGAGTAGGTTAAAAAGTAAGAAGACAGCATTCTCCCCAGGAGAGAGATTCTCCCCAGGCAGAATGTGTATTTTAAAGTGACTGCCATCAATGTGATGCAGTGATAAACCTTCATCCCTAATGCAAGTGCTGGCAGCAGCCGAGGCATCATTTATGAGAATATATCCGAGGCTGACTTTTTGTAGCAATCTGAGTTCAATTCAAACCATAATCAGCTAATCACTGGCAATTTTCAGATATGAGTCAAGCTAATTTCAAGACAATCAGCCTTAGATAGTTTCACTGAACAGCCCTGGAGATGATGTTTATGTTGATGTCCGTTAGTATTGCAACTGACAGTAATGCATGCTCTGCAAAAAGGAAAACAACCGAAAAATTAAACCTTCTCTGGAATGAACAACTAAAAGTCTGTAAGTCTGAAGAACAGGAAGTTTATTTCTGCACACTGGTGTTCCCCAGCAGGTGCTCTAACCCTAGAGTTGCTTTCATGCAAAGAGGCAGCATGTCATTTCAGGAATACTTACTTACCCTAATTTGAAAGCTTCTGTTCAGCACTGATTTTTCAAAACACGTGCTCTGTGTAAAAGCTGTGGAAACCAAAAAGATGGTCAGAATCTTGGCCACACTGTGTGGCTGTCACTTTTTTTTAAAGTTTTGATTCAAACCACACGTGACTTTGCTGACATGCATCACCATGTTACATAAATGAGCCTTTAATGACCCTTACTTTCTTGATTTTATCTTTTTTCCCCCATTACTTGAATTTATTTTCTTTTCATAGACTATGGAGTTAGATATATGTAACAGCTCATCTGCAGAGAAATATCCCCTACAAGGCAGGAGGATGGTGCTGCTAATCACACGGCCAAAGTGCAATGTTGTGAGACTGAAATGGACAACCGAACCATATGATCAGCCTTCTTTTATGAGAACACTATGTCAGTCAGTCAGTTTATGACCTGAAATTGGATGGGAAAAGTCTGATCCTGGCCCTGCTGAATGCAAAGAGGTACTTTCTGGCATCTATTTCAGAGGTGGGAAACCCTGAGGCCTGTTTCTTGAAGCACTATATGACAAGGTTATAGCAGTATTAACTTCACTAAGAAGTATTAGTTTCATTTTGCCGTTCTGTTTAGGAGATACAGCTTTGGAGCTCCTGTCATTGCATCCTCGACCTTTTGTGTGTCATTACCTTGAGACTGAAGTTTTGCTGTCCCTCCCCCCTCCTGCTGGGAGCTGAGCAGAGCAGCACTGCGGGCACCCAGTGCCCAGGTCCTTCCTGTGTCAGAGGCCTCGGTGGGCTCAGCACATCTTTGCAGCAGCAACCGAGGTTGGTGTTGAAGCCAGGAGAAGCATGTCTTACACACAGACCTGATGGTGACCACCACAAAGAGAGGATCCTTTTATCAACCCTATTATTAATTATACAAGTAAGAAAATAGCAACCCCTACAAATTTTGCTAAGTATTCAGATTAAAAAAATACTTACTACAGCTCAGTCACCACTTCGTGCAGGCTGAGATGAAACCATAACACTAAAAACCATAACTCAGCTCCAGTGTCTGGCAATGTGATAATGAGTGCTTTGTACTAAGCAACAGCAGTTAGGAGACATTTGAACATCTGTCTCCCAGTTGGAGGCTGCATTACCTGTGTTCATGGAGTAAGGGGGGACCTGCAGTTGTAAAAACCTTTGCTGTTCTTCTGTACTCTCTGTACAAGAGTAGCTGAATGGCAACCAGAACGTTAACACAGCTAAAATACAATATGGATTAATAGAAGAGTAACAGAATGCCATTTCATTAATCAGTACTCCTTTACTTGAGGAATTAGGTGTCACATCTTTGCTTCATTGTGTCAGATTGCCCCTCTGCTACCATGTCACACAGCAGCAAAATGTAACAGAAATTGGTGGGAAGGTTCAAGCTCTACTGCAATACCACCACCATTTGCCTCTGATGTCGTTGGCCAGCATAATAAAATAAGAGGTACTGTTTTCAGAACAGCCCTCATATATAGCCCTTATATATATTACATACATAATATAAAGAAGTATGCAATTAAAGCAAGATGTATAACGTACAACCTATGAAATATATCATATATCATTGAATTATAAAATATTATTTTGCATAATAATGTGTGAAGCCACAACAGCTGCTTCCAAAAGGCACTCCTTTCTGACAGCGAGTGTGCTAACTTGAGCATGTCAGACAGTGGATTCAGAATACCTTTCCATGCAGATTTTGCACAGTAAAATCTGGCAGCATAAATATTCATGGACATCAAATACAAAAGATATTTGTGCAAAATGAATACATTTTAAAAGGGTTGTAAAATATTCATAGGAAATGTTTCTAGCAGGAACCTATAATAGGGAGCTCCAAGACTGGAAATTACTGATACATCTCTCCTGCTTTAAGCACCTGGTTGCAGTGCACTGATCCTCAAACCCCTGGGACAGGGATTCTGTCTAGATCTGAAAGGCACTTAAGTAACTCCAATATAATGACCCAAAGATTTGGGTCATCAGGACGGAGTTGAACCACTGAAGTGGACTGTTCACGTATAGCAATGTAATTTCAAGGTCTGTGTAGCCCATCTGTTGCTATGATAACGCTTTGTTTTGCAGGGTCCCTCAGCACCAGCTCTGGAGGACACTGCCACCCCTGTGCCCTCTCTAAAGCCACTGTAACTCCAGCTACGCAGAATCTGATGCTCTCTCAGCACACCTTCTGGGCTGCCGGAGCTCTGGTGCTTGTCACTGACTGATGCCATAGATGTGCTGCTATATCTAACAGCAGTTGTCTTCTTATCCCAGCTGTGACAGAGAAGTGTCCTACAGAAGATGAGGTAAGCAGGAGAATATAAATCTTTCCTTATTTCATCTGATTTTTTTTTCTGAGTAAGTTTAATGATATCTGCCTGGCTTAAGATTTCAAATACCCTTTCCATTCTCCTTGCTTTCTTTTTTTATTATTACTATTGTTTGCATTTTTTGCATTTGAATATCAAGTTTTATTCTAAATGGTTTGCATGCATTTGTAGCAGTGTCAGAGGGCACTGTGTATGCATGAACTTTGTATGTATCAGGGATGAGCCTTGACTAACAGAAGGGAGATCTCTGGCACATTTCCATGTGAGAAGTCCTCTGACCTGAAAATGGCCAGAGGAGGGGAGAATATACTAAGGGCAAATCCCTGCATACTTGTTCTGTACTTTGCCATACCAGACTGCATGGCCTTCTGGTGCAGCCTGGTAGAGGTGCTCTGCTGGAAGTTTTTATACTCTCTCTGAGACGGCAAGAATGACCTCACTTTGGTGCTGTTATAGGTTGAGGTTAGAAATTCACTAAAAGAAATGTGGAATTCCTTTGAGCAAAACAAACAGAAGAGCAGAAAATCAAAGTTTTGGAATTAGAAGGAGGATTTGGTCCCACATTTAAACAACTCAGCCTTGTTTGTTTCAGATGAGCATTGGCTTCCTCTCCAGAGCTGGTTATTGAGCAGAAGGTAATCATTCCAAAGGTGAGGTGCTGGATATCAATTTTAACTCCCTTCTCCACTGTAATTTCTTTGAAAAAGATGAAATAAAGTGTGTATTGGATATGTACAAACGCATGTTTCCTAGTGCATCAATACTATTATTAAATGATGCTTTCAACTCGTGGCAACAGCAGAGTCATAGAGGTCTTTTTTTTCTAAGTCTGATGTGTGGAATATCTCAGTTAAATGTATGCAGTACTGGGTAAAGCACGTGGAGGGCTATGAATAGGATAAAAACAGGTTGTGCACTTAGCATGATTCTGAAATAATGTGTAAGGCACAGCTGATAAGGAAGAGGCATAAGACTATGAGAAGAAATGGAAGGGATGCAAAGGCCCAAGATGATCCTATGATTCATCCTGGTGATACATCCTTCTGAAAGACACAGCCTTGGAGTAGTTCTTGTATTCATTAAATTATTCATGTTCCAGATGGCCACCCAAACACCTGGAAAGTCTACAACAAACTTCAGCTGTCTCCAGGCAAAAGCTTCAACTTAGAGTGCTTCTGGGGTGACTGAGGAAGGGGTAACCAGAGACACAGTTGTCTCACATGTACTCTCATTGCCACCAATGTGTTTACTGCCATATGGTGCCTTATGCCGAGATAACCTGTAAACACGTTAGCAGGAGTCTAAATAACATTTAGGAGAAAAATATTGTATCAGCCTAGCTGCTGATCACTACAGCTTGTAATTGTAAGCGTACCTTTTCTCATTGTTACAACAATCTGCTCAGTTGACGTCACAGTTAAGTCTCATCTATGTCAAATTCTTTTCAATAATATAATCAAAAGGTTATCTGTGGATCAGACAAAAATTGATGAATAAAATGGTATTTGCACTGAGTTGGCTGAGTGCTGCTATAGAATGTCTTAGGTTGGAAGGTCACCTTAAAGTACGTCAAGCAGAAAGTTTGTCTGCTATGGATGGCAGCTCATGCAGGCTTCTATCATAGTAAAAAGAGGACTGAATTGTCAGCACAACTGGTGTTTCTGCAATGTTAGTTGTGATGTGTGGGAAGTCAGTCTTTCCTAGCAAGGAACTACTTAGTAAAAAGGAATTTCCAAGTAAGAGATTTCTCTCTCAAATCCTAATGAAGTCTTTATACCTGACATCTACAGACACACGACTAAGCAACTGTTAACACGTACTGGGGTAACAGATCATAAGATGGAGAAGTAAGAGGTGAAAGTAATAGTGTTTAAAAACATTATTCAGATCACAGTTCAAAAAGAATCTGTTATTTTGGAGAAGTCTTGTGCAGCAGGACTTGTAGGGAATTCTTCTAGACAAAAATGGATCACCTTCAACATTGGTTTAACACTGGCAAATAACCAACAGCTCCATGCATCATCACCACTTCTCCTGCGGAGTTCAAACTGAAGGTAATTTGCAGTGATACTTCCCTCCTCCCCCGGGAGGGGAGGAGGACCTTTATTTCAGACCATTGCTGGAAGTATGCTCTTTGCTTTTCCTTTGCAAATAAGCTAAATCTTGTGTCTTGCTTGCAATGATTACACAGTATAAGTGCCAGTCAACTACAATGATAATCATGTAGTTGCACATAACAGATATTTGAACAAATGAAACCGTACAGTTAATTATGACCAGGTGTGTTTTGATACAGCATTTAAGCCTTTGAATTATCCATTATGATTTCGCTCACGTTTTTACTCTAACACAGTAACTGACTCAGTGAAAAATCACAGTCAGCTATGTATACTGGTCAGTCTAGAGCCCTCCCTCCCTGCCTTCTGACTCTACTTTATCTAACCTACTCTACCTGACAACATTCCCAACTATCAGACAAACTTCAAAGCATGAAATGCATGGATTTTTTTTTTCTATTTTACGTATTTTCCTAATGTTTGAGGCCACTGTAAAAAGTCTTTGTAAGGAGAAGGATTAATGTTGTAAAAATAACTTACTTAAAAAACAAACAAACAAAAAAGACTATTACAATATTTTTGTTTTATATAGATATTTTTATCCTTGGGGCATTTACTTTGCTGAACTGTAGTGCCAAAAGTTTCATCTGCCCATGACATACACAGCCACAGTTTGCAAGCATTACTCTCAGCCATGCCTACCTACCACTACTTCAAGAACAACTCATGGGTATTCCACTTTAACACAGCAACTCTTCCTTATTTATGTGTTTAACTGTGAAGACATTTGACTACCTCTCTCCCTGCCACAGACTTTGAAAACCATCCCACACAAATGTACTTCAGTGCCCTCACTTTCCCTTTTTTTCTTCTGTCCCTTGCCTTTCTCTTGCTTTCCCATTATCTACCTCCCCAGCAATAATTTGCAGTACACTTCTTTGCTTTTCTTTCCAGCACAGTGGATGTCTACTTTAAATGCCACCTTGTTTAAAGATAAGAAAAATGAAAAGAAAAATTGCCACAGAACAAACTATTCTTCCAGTCCAAATATAAAATAAAAGCCATCTTATTTTTAGATCATGCGTCATTTTCATGATTTCTTTCTCTCTCGATGACTGTGAGGCAATGAGAAGAGGCCAGAAATTACTTTTTTTGTTCCCCCTAAAAAAATACATATTCAGAGCTTTAACTAACCCAATTTCTCCATCGTTGACTCATCCATGACCATACTACAGTGGAGCCCCAATTACCTGATGTGTGTGTCAGCTATCAGTAGTCTGTATCCTGGCAATTAGCCTATTGTAATGGCACCAGCAGCATGATGCACATAGGCTGTAATTTTTTAAGTTCCGAGCCTAAGCACAGTACATAGCAGTAAAGTAAGAGAAGCCAGGCTTCTCTTCGGGTGAGAGCACGTTGTGGACAATGGCGATTGGCTGAGAAAACAGCTATGCCATTACTTTCAGGGCACAATTAGAAACAGAACATTCTGAGTATTAAATATTTGCCTTTCACTTTAAGTTGCCTGTAAAAACAAACCTTTTATTTCATACTACCATGACTGCTTGGTATCAGAAAGCCTTTCCGGTGTGTAAATATAATCATCCGCTGACTTTCTCTAAACATATTGCCATCCCAGGAGGAGAACGCATGAATACATCCAATATTTGAATCCTTTCTTGTTTCCTCTCAACTGCAGCAAAGAGAGGATATTATTGAGGGATGCTGCTAGCAGGTGTGCGTGACACTGTTGTTGTTTGCCCCTTGGGACCCCTGGTTACTGCTGAGAAGCTCCAGGTGCAAGGAGCAGGAGCGGATGTGAACGGCATGGCTGCACTGGGCCTGGGGTGGCTCCTGCACTGCTGCATGCCTGCTTGCAACCTGGCACAGCGTGCCACTGCAGAAACGTTGCTTTGCTCTGACTGCTGTGAATGTCTTCTGTGTTAGCTTCGGCATTGTGCCTGCCCACTTACCTTGTCACTTAGCTTCGCTTTCACTGTCTAAGCCATTACACCATCTCCTGTTTCTACCTGAGTCCTAATCCCTAAGCATCCAGATGCTGTCAGCCCCACACACAGAACCAGCCCTGCTATGCTAAACATACCCCACCTTCCTCCAGCAGCTTGTTCTTAAAAATAAAACTTCCTATTTCTGCAAAAGAATGCTAATGTCTCTAGTTGAGGAGCTGCAATAAATTCTTCCTCTTGTAGCATGCAGCTATCAATTAGTGCTGGTACCTAATCTGAATGTTTTAAAGTCTGATAGATCTATTAATAGAAAAACACCAGGCATCTAATTTCCAGATACTCAAAAAATTAATTTCAATTCTGTTCGACTGGATTTCTATTTAAAATTACCATGCATATTTTTCTGCTAAGCTGTGTTTCTTTATCCTGACATTATCAGGATTAAGTGCAGATACATTCAGTGAATGACCTGGCTAAAAGGGACACTCTAGTCATACTTCTTTCTCCCTGCACTGCTTCAGACACTGCTCATGAATAGTATGAGATCTGAAAAGATGGGAAAAAATGTCACTCCATTTACAAAAACAAAAGCCATTTCTGTAGGAAAACAATACAGAACAAAGCTTCAAAAAAATATCCATCCTAACAGAGCCATCCTAACAGACCTTCTGCTGGACACCAGCATATGCCACTTTAGAAGACACACTGACTTGCATGAACCCTGAGACAGGCTTCACAAAAGATATAAGGAGTTATTATTTATCCCTTGCACAGGTACATACTGTGAAGCTGAAGTTAGTCCCTAATGAAAACACATACAGGCATCATCCTCAAATAAATTCATCTCCTATTATTCCTTTTATTCAAGAAAATGTGCCTGAGAATAGTTGCCCACATTATGCAAAATACTCTTTTCTCTCTCTGCAGTTACACATTCATGAATCCCTAGCTGTTCTTTCTCCCTATTTTGAAGGAAGTACTTCTTTCTTTCTTTCTTTAGAAAGAAAGAAAACAGGTCACTGACTACATGGCAAGAACTGAATAACATGCTCAATAATCACAGAATCCATAAGGCTGGAATAGAACTCTGATATCTTCTAGTCCAACTATCAACATCCCCACCATGCCCACTAACCACGTCCCTCAGTGCCACATCTCCATGTTTCTTCAGCACCTCCAGGGACAGTGACTGCACCACCTCCCAGGGCAGCCCGTGCCAATGCATCACCACTCATTCTGAGAAGAAAATTTCCAAATAGCCAACCCGAGACTTCCCTAGCACAACTTAAGGCCATTACCTCTTGTCCTGTCACGGTTACCTGGGAGAAGAGGCCAACCTCCACCTCACCACAGCCTCCTATCAGGTAGCTGTAGAGACTAATAAGGTCTCCCCGAAGCCTATTCTCCAGACTGAACTATCCCAGTTCCCTCAGCCACTCCCCAGACCTCTCACAGTTTCATTGCCCTTCTCTGGACTTGCTGCAAGGCTTCAATGTCTTTCTTGTCATGACAGGCCCAAAACTGAACTCAGACAGTTAGAAATATCAGGTTGCACTCATTACCCATTAAAGCAGAATGTAACGTGAACAAAAACAGGGCAGAGCCCAGACATATCCTTTGTATAATTGTAACACTTCCTTTGTGTGATATTATTCATCTAACTGTGGCAAATATTTCAATATTCAATACAGTCCACATTAAAAAAAAGGCAACCACACAAAAAGCACTGCACTGATATAGTACACATCTTATGCACAGTAATATGGAAAAGAAGAATGGTTATGGTATATGGTTATATGGTATATAACCATATATGGTAATGGTATATGGTTATATTCACAATATTAGTGAAAACACAATATTTCTAAAGACTAAAATTTGAGATTAAAAAGAGTATCTGGGAAAATATTACATCAAAAGTGAGAAAAGCTGAGAGCAAACAAATCATTTTGTAAGTACCTGTATATATTCATCCCCGTGTGACCAGATTCACTCCTTCATCACATGCTGGATGCATTCCTCAGCTGTGCAGTGTTCTGGCTATATAGAAACTGATAAAGATAAATGGTGATAAAGAAGTAGAAGCAGAGATGAAAAAGCCATGAGGGATGAGGGCTTTATTTCCAAGGTGGGGCTCTGACTTTCAAAGATAACTACACCCAATAGAGATCAATACAAAACTAAATTAGATTTGATTCAGGTCCTGAAATGGATCTATGGTACTGTGGTCTTATTTAGTTCACTGCCGTGTCAAATCGAGGAAGCTGGATCAGTCAAACAGCGGGCACTGGTGGTGCAGGCAGCCCTTTTTGCATGGCCATAGTGCTGGTGTGCAGGAAAGTGTGCACATCAGGCCCCATGACACAGGAACCCAGAAGGACCACGATGTGTGCAACCGGGGCCCTGCACGGGCACTGTGTGGAACCCACTCTTCCAAGAACTGGATCTGTGCAAAGAGTGAACCCAAGCACTTGTGAAAAGACTGTGCTGTAACTCTGAAAACCCAAAGTGCCCTGTTTTATCATATACACTTATTTTTCCTCACGGGCTATAGGCTGAAACTACACACCTATGAAATAGATGGGGATGTTTTATTAATCCTGAAACTTCTCCACACTTAGCTCTCATGAAGAAGTAACAGCTCATTTCTCTGATCAAATATGGTAACAAAGAACTATGAGATCGAAATCCACACTTCTTGGCTAATAAATCCCATCTTGATAAGCCCCCTACCCACACCAAGAATTCATCCCGACTCCTAACTGTCTACACAAATAGACTAAGTAGAATTTATTCTTACTGAACACAATTTAACATTCTGGTTTTTAGCCATTTTTCAAATAAAGTACCTCTCGCAATTAAAGAAAAAAAAATCCAAACTCAAATGTATGTGAGAAATGGCGTGAAGGTTTAATCTCCATAATAATTTCAGTATTAGATATATATGGAAAATATCATACATTTATTTTACGGAGCCTGAAAGAGTAGCATTTATATTTAAGTCTCACATATATTAAAAAAGCGAAAAGATGGCAGACTGATATTATTTATTTAAAGAGTCAAAGATAGAATTCTAAAATTGTTCCTAGACGAGTTTTCAGGCTTGGATGATTTTACGGCTGTTAACGTCAGACACCAAGTACTGCTGGTTGGAAAAAAAGTCTGTGATATAATTACTAGCAAAAGGAGTCTCCTCAGTGCTTTGTCTATGTTAAGATTCCCGGAAGATAACAAGGGGTAGCACAAAAGGCAATATTCTCCAAAAAAGTATTCCATAAATTTTACCTGTTCCTCCATCCCAGACTCGTGTTTCTGTCATTCAGTTGACATTCTGTTGGTATGAAAAGATGAAAAGTCAAAACAGGAGCTCTTAAAAATAGAACTCTTTTACAGTTTCAAATAAAGCCAATATTTAGTTTGGAGTTACATGGAGCTTTCAACAAGCAGCTTCAAAGGCAGATTCCTATCACAAAATAGCCCAGAGATCTGATGCACTATTAGCACCTACAGAAACATCTTCAGAGAAGGAACTCTCATTCCTGCTCTGTCAGGCTCGTGACCCCCTAACAAGGGAAGTAATTTTTAGCCATCAGGATGTTTTTAATGAGAAACACAAAAAACAGCATTAGTGAGAAAAAATGAAGTTTTGGAGAAACACGATGCTATCATACTGTTGCCTCAGCGAAGCTGCATTTAAAGCTAAGGCTTTATATAGACTCTGGTCTTCAAATTCATTCAGCATCTGTTGTCACAAGTCCTAACAAGTGATCCAATCAACTTGAGCTGGAAATTGAGAAAAAATTTTTACTCAAAAGGATGGAAAAAAAGTTTCAGTAAGAAACTGGAAATAAATAAATAAAATCTTATAGAAACATTTCAGTAGAATTTTTAATGAATTTAAAAAAAATAATAATTTTTTTCCTCAAAGTTTTCTGTAACGAAGCTGCACCTAATTTTATCTCCAAAGAACAGTGGTAAATGTTCGATTCTGATATTAATTGTATCCAAATTGCCCTAAAATATCATTTTACTTCAGCTAACTTAATTGCTCCTATGGGAACAGACTTCTTGATTGATTTCTATTGCATTTTCATCTCAATTTTTATCCATCTTAATTGGCAGCAGTAGATAATGGAGTCCAGAAAGATTAAGGACAGTCTTTACAACCTTAGCATACAATGTCCCAGCCTTAGGAGGAAAATATGATCACAGTACATATAAATCCACATTTGTTTTCATGAAGAAGGTAGCATAGAAGGAAATACAGATATCTTTGAGACGATACAGAAACTGAAATTGGAGCCCACCTGCAGTGCTTTCACTCCACAATCCTTACACTGTAGACTCTCTCATACACTTCAGTATGTCACAGTATAAAGTACAGCACAGCGTACTAGGGTTAACTTAAAAAGGAGCTACCAATACAGGTAAGGATTATTAACAAGCAAGTCATTTGTCCTGTATAATGATACTGTCTGTCTCTCTTCAGGCTAGCAGAAGCCAGATCTTGTGAGTTATTTACACATCTGATACAAGTTTTGAGGGCAGATCACACACACCTACCCAGTCTTGTGGCTTTCCACGAAGATGGGAATATTCACCCATTTTACTGATGGCTTTTTTTTTTTAGCTTGACAAAAATATTTATACTTATTTTTAGAATAGCCTTATAACACGTCTGGCATATCTTTTGGTTGCTCTGTTTCACATATCGAAAAGCAGTAGGAAAATTATCCCACTGCCACGCAGTGTGTCTGATGACAGGGGAGTTAGGCTGACATTCTCCAGGAGCATTAAATACACTCACATGCACATATCTAGACATACATACGAGTTATTAGTGTAAATAAGGAAGAAGGCAACAGCTGATCTGACCTGCAGTCAAATTATCTGCTGGTTATCCTCGCTGCATATCCAATAGCTCATTTTTACTCTTTAGCAAAAGAATTTCTTGACAGGGGAGCAGCGATAAAACACTGGGTGAGATGTAACAGAAAAATCTCTGCAAGCAGTTTGCGAGCGGTTACAGTTCGGCTATTGTATAAAAATGGGATTAAAAAATAGCCTGGAAGAAAAGACCAAGTCATTATAATCTTGATATATGCCATTTAAAATTCACCTGATTTCCCCCTGCTTTCCCTCATAAATCAAAAGTGAATACACAGATCCCAGGGACGAGGAGCAGGTGGTAAAACAGCCTAAAAATCGCTTTTCTATACTTCAGGAGAAAACTAATTTCATGCTGAAAAAAAAAGGTCATTTTTACTGCTAGTTTAGCCACATGGCTCTCAGGTACCAATTTTGCAAAGTATTACACATTTTCACTGTGGGTCATTTGTTTCCTCTGCAAATTTCCTAGAAACTTACAGAAGTGATACACGCCGATCTTTCCATCTGTGGCTTTGAGCATATAATGATGATTGGACGGTTTATCTTTCCTTTAATCTGTACGATAAGTGACAGAGAATGCAGAAATGTTGTCTATATGTTACACAGAGCAACTTTCTGATGATGGTGCCTGAATGAGACACTGATGAGCCCCTTACATTGTATGTTCTATGTTCCTCTAGGCCAGCTGTAGCTGCTGAAACCAATACAGCCAGCCACAGATATTACAAACAGATGTACATGGTTGTAAATTTTCTGCAGAGAAGCTAATGTTTGAATTTGTTTGAGAAATAAAAGCTTTGTGCTTGAACAGAAAACACTATTTCCCTTGTTAACCTGAACACTAACCTCTATCCTAATTACATGAAATCATTTTTTTCTCAAGGGCAGCACAGAAGAAGTACAAAATTCTTCTTGGCCATGGTAGGGAGATAGCAAGTGCTTAATCCTCAGACGTGGCAAGGAAAAACAAAACAAGACAGCAGAGCAAAGCAGTGCAAGGCTGTGCGACTATTCCATTTCCATCACCGGAGTATTCAATCACACAGCATGGGGAAAATTAAATAATATTCAATATGCTGAGTACACTGAATAGGAATTCATATCGAGTTTATTCGGAGGTATCAGACGCGGCATGTCACCATGTAAGGAGAGGCATTTGAGCTACATAAAGGCTGATGCCTTATGTTTTTTAATAAAGTTGAGGACAGATTACATGCCTTTGATTTCAGCCCAAGGTTGCATTGGATGGAAGCTATTTCCGTTAAAGTACTGAATAATTTGGAAGTTACAATAGAATCATGCAGAAAGCTTTGGATACCAAACAGTATGAAATGGTAAGGTGTTAAACTGTCGCACCTGAAAGAAAGTGCCATTGAAAGTCTAAGAAATAGGTCACTAAAGCTACACAGGCCAACGCAAAGCCAAAATGACCATGCTGCACCAGTCATAATTGCAGCCTGAATATTTGGTTCTTTTACCTAGAGCTCCTGATTCCTGTCTATGTTGGAACTTTATTCTTAGTACTGCAGAAGTATTAGCAATGCATACAGTGCATCGCCCAGCTACAGGGACCTCAACCACCTCCAGCCCTTTGAGGTAACTGTGCCTGCATCTGTGAATCATAGCATGGCTTGGGTTGGAAAGGACCTCAAGGATCCTGAGTTCCAAACTCCTGCTGCAGGCACTGCCAGCTGGTAGGTCAAGTACTAGACCAGACTGCCCAGGGCCCTATGCAACCTTGCCTTGAACACACAGGGACAGGGCACCCACAACCTCTCTGGGCACCTCATCACACTCTCTGTAAAAAATGTCCCCCTGACATCTCATCTAAATCCTTCCTCCCCTGGTTTATACCATTCCCCCTTGTCCTGTCACTATCTGCCCTTCTAAAATGTTGATTTCACTCCAGTCTCCTTGATCATTTGCTGCTGTTTTCCCAGCAGATATCCAGGTGGTTGAAGTCCCCCATCAAGATGAGAGCCTGCAAATTAAGTAAACTCTCTGAGAGTTGCTGGCTCAGGATCTAGCTCCCCTACAGCTTCTGTCAGTGCCTCAGACACCAGGCAAGGCTTCAGTGAGTGTAGGGAGGTGCTAAGCTCCCTCCTCACTTGCAACATAAGTGCAAGCAGCAGGGATGCAGCCCAGGTTGGATGGCCCAGGATGGGTGGGATGCTGGAAGGAGCCTGCTGCAGGGCATCCTCCAGTTAAACAACGCACCTGTCATTCAAGCAGTCACCTGCGCTAGAAACTCAGGTACTGACACACTGGAGTTAATGGGAATTTGTGAACAGCCTCTAGGAAGCTCAGAGCACTGGGAAAGCAAGAAGGCAGAGGTTACAGCAACAGTACGATGTGGATTCTCCCTCCAGGTCCCTTGCAGGTCAAAGTACGCAAAGACATTCTGCATGAGCCAGCCTGTCCCACACAGCTTTCTGGCACAGCTCCCTCTTCAGACAGCAGGCTTTTTTTGTTTGTTTGTTTTGTTGCTATTGTTGTATTGTTTTAATACTGCATGCAGTTCAATTTCTTTGGCCAGCACTGACTGTGTAAATTCTTTAGAGAGACTGTGAAAACTGCCAAGAAAGACTGCCTGGGAGCAGCATTCCAGAAGTAGCTGGGAAGCTGTTAGCTGTCTCCCTGCCTTGGCATCCTTCCCCCAAAGTACTCCCAACCACAAGCCAGTGCAGTTCTGCACGGTCTCAGAAGAGGCATCTTGGCCTTGAGGGCAGCTCCATGTGGGGCTCAGGGAGCTAAATCATGCCAGTTGATCCTTGCATGGTGTCATAACTGTAAAATCTTCCACAAGGAGCAATGTGGAGAGTGGGTGTTTTGGCGCATTTATCACGTATGCTACGACAAATGACAGTTTTATGGTTAAATGCACTTGAATAGAAGGTTAAGGTTCATCTCCCTTCCCTGCCCTAGATTTCATTTATCACCTCAGGTAAAACTAAGAGACAGAAAATACCTTACAAAATAGAATTGCTTCCCTTTGCCTTGCTTTTCTATTGGCTTTGTCTCCACAGTTTAGGCCTGTATACCTGGAGGTTTGCTTGGGGCAACGGGAACTCTGAAGTCAGGGAGGGAGCCCAAAAACTACAGCACTAGCAAAACCAACAGTGGGCAATAAAACCAATAAAGCAGGAGAAAAATGAGAACCAGGAACCTGTAATAGCCAATAAGCTCATCAGAGGTGAATTAGCTGATTCTGAAGAGGAAATACATTCCCCCCAAAACAAAGTGATTTCAAAAAGACCAAAGCTGACCTCTCAACCACTCTGAGTGCAATGGTTTCCCCACTGCACCAACAGAGATCTATCTTTGGCTCCTATCTGCTGTAAGAAGAACAGTTATTTTATGCCCCCCAGAACAGGCACACTGCTGTCGGCTAAAAGCAGGAGGGATGGCAGGGAACTGTGACATTTCTAATAGCTACTCATTTC